CTGAACCTCCATTAAATTGTGCAGCTGCTCGAATATAATGAAAGTGTTATAAAACGCAATATACAAGCACTGGGCTACCTCTGAGGATACATCGCATCGTCTCTGGTCGCCATCTGATTCATCATCATTTGGATATCTCGATCACGATTATTACCCGTTTGTAATGCTTTATAGCAACATTGTTGCATCTCACACACGTAGATGGCCACATAGCTCACTCTCTACCCAGATCAATCTCACAAGAGCTTCATGTGATTCCAATTCGGCTAACTCTTACCTACCCAGCCCATCATTCTCCAATCACGTCATCAACACGTAAAGTATGTTTGTTTGCAGGCTTCAAGAACATGCTTATCCCATCTTACCCGATGGAACCTTTAAACCGCAGAGGTCAATATCTGGATATGAATGCGACCAGTTTGAACAAACCACTGGTTGCGTTTGCTATGAAATTCAAGATATGCAATCAAGTAATTTCGTTGCGTGTTCTCATTATTTGTGTTGAACACGCCACCTACTCTAAATATATGTACAGATGATTGTTGATGCAGTTCTCTTTATGAATTTAAGCAGCCTAGGCACTGAAGTAGAATGCATCAACTGATATCTCTTGCTCTTTGGCCTGAGCAGCTCTACATTTCTTCCATTCTCTCTTCAGCACAAGACAAATTCATGCTGCCCCTTTCGAGTTCCTCAATCTGGGCCCTACCCCCTCTCACTCTAAGACTCTGTTATTTGTGAGTCACGATCATCACAATCTTGTTCACTGCACTGATTTCCTATTCGCAGCAATCTATCATGTCAACGCCTCCATACATCTCAATATAATCCACCCATCTTATCACGATGCTATTCTCCTCCCCTCAAAAAGCCAAGCACACAAACCCATCTAACTCCTAACGGTGCAATCTTGATTCCGTTACTGAAAATATTGCTATCGATTCTTTCACCCCTTCCAAAAGAAAAATGCCTAGTCTGTCAAAATTGCTCATACTATCTCTCACCCCTATGTCCTCAACTATTCCACTAGTGTATACCATCCATGACCATTGTTCTCTCAATCTTAGTTAAGATCATTCGGCTTGCATTGATTCCAAGTAATTGATCATGTTCGCTCGTGTAAGACTTGTTCTCAAACCTTTCTCTCACTTACGGATGTGATAAGAAAGAACATTTTGTACTTCTTTCTAGCGATAGGTCTTTTTGCCTCGCTCTGGTCATCCCTACACCGCATTTGTAAACGATGCGCGTACTTCTCGAATCATTTTGCCATCGAAGCTGTATCAATCTTAAGTCTGTCATGGCATCAAAATGCACACGTTTTCTGTATCCCTGCACCTTAGTTTAAACAGCGAGGAGAGCACATGGGTACAAAGTTATCATTTGTTGTTGTTCATGTAGTGTGGGATCGGCGCTCTGCGTGATATTCTTTGTGGACTCTCTGCTCTTCGTAACTTTGTCAAGTGTTTTCATGGTTATCCTAGGACTGTTCTACTTTGCTCTTGATTACACCGCTTTACCAGTTTGTACATGTGCGAATGCAACAAGTAACCAGGTATGCTAGAGTTAGAAGCTGATGAATTTGCTAAACATTTCTGCCCTCTCAACTGCTCTTTATCTGTTCTCTTGTTACGCTTTCCATCATTTCCACGATTCAGAAGCGCATTTATCAGATGCCTCCTCGCTTGCAAAGAATGTTGTTTGTTGTCTGCCCGAGGGGTCAACACTTAGTAAATTGATTCGATGTTGAGCAAAGGATGTCCTAAAATATATAAAATAGTTGCTGATACGGCGAACCAACCTATATAATGCGTATTGTGCTGTATTGTTAAACTTGGTTAACACTTTGTAAGTACTCATCAATTGTCTAGGCTGAACAGGCTTTGAAATTAACACCGAATGTTTTTGTGTGCGAGAAAGTCTTCGTATATGCATGAGATATAAATTGGTTTTTGATATG